TTGATCCCCTCTTCCATCACTCCTTTTTTCCCCATCCGGCTCCTCCCTCCCATCCCTACTTTCCACTATTGGAGGGAATAGAAATGATGATGTATTCTCTTTTCTTGTCTTCAGAAAATTTAATCCCGCGAAGAGCGTGTTTTTTCCGTTTTGTTTATTCGTAAATATCTGAGTGGAGAGTAATAAATCGGGAAATGCTTTTATGTTCAAAAATCGATGTAGAGGGACGTTCTGAACTCACCTAGTTTTTTCTTTACTTTTTTTACTTCAAATTAAGCAATTTTATTACTTACATAATCAAAACGTTCGGTATTTGAATTAATTTTAATCATGGAATTTAACTATTTTTATTGCAGTTGAACCTCCATTGACCACGCTTGTTGTTTTACGGGCGATGTCTTTGAACTCCCCTCACTACCAGCTCTTTGTGTGAGCAAGATTTATCAGTACGACTTTTTATACGAACCCCTATCTGAAGGGATAGTCTGGACTTTTTTCAATTGCATTTATTTTTCTCCCTTTGAACATAATTCTATATTCCTCTTCCATAGAAGTAAAAATCCAGAGTACTTAAGAGGGGATAGAAAACCTCTCAAATAGTTTACAATTTGAACCCACGCTGTTTATTTTTTAAGTTTTTCTTCGAACATGTTCTCCTATTACTTTTACTTTGCGGGGGTCTGTCGTTGTTCGAATCAACAGTTGAGTGTTTCCTTCACCAGATTAAAATTCGAAAGGGAAGGAAGTAGATGACACTACTCCACCTTAACACGATAAAAAAAAAGATCGTTTTTATCCGATAATACGAGACGTGCCGCCAGTTCCCCATCTCCAATATAATGTTTTATGATGATAAAAGAAGGGAGGTCAGCAATCCGGGACGGAGATTCGGGGAGGGATAGACTCTCAACAGAAGCGCGTAGTGGATTGACCGACCCTTATAAATCGATTTTTACTCCCTCTCCTCCCTAGTCTAGACGATCATCCAATTGCGCGCGCTGTGTCAATGCCGAGACGTATTTAATTTTCAAAATAGTGAAAAGTTCGAACTTTTATGTAAGTAGCGTCGTCTCTTAAGGGTGTCGGAGATCGCACAAATGTGACCTTCGCAGTCACCTTGTACAACATCTACGGAAAAGGAAGGAAGCCGATTGGTAGAGCGGGCGGTAGAGAGAGAGTAGATTCGTCTGACGATTGTATCAGCTTCTACTATTGGTCCATTGCAGACTACCCGAAGTGACCCGCGAAGAGGGTCGGTGTACGTGTATATAGCTCGAGCGTCGCGCACCCTGTCGCCCTCCCATCTTTCCCCTTCTCGCGTTGCCATGGTAACAGCGCGTTATATCTAGGTAGGTTTTTCGGGTAGACGTAGGTAATGCCACTGTGCAGACGTTTGTTTACTAAATATGTGCCGTCGATTCTTCCTGCACGTCTGTTCTTTGTCTGCTCGTCGAGTCTTGTTGAAGAGAGGCCGCGCGCTCGCCACGCTCCCACTCCTNCGCGGTTACATAAATGTACATTAACATTTACCAAGTTTAAATAATTGCAAAAATTATACAAGTTAATTAAATCGAAACAAAGAAATAAAATAAAATATATACATTCAGTAAAAATTATCTTAATTATTCTTCCCGCTTACATAAACTACGTCAACTCATCGTAGAAGGATGAGTTGACATAGTTTATCATAGGCATGATATTAATTGTCTTAATATCATGCCGATGACAGATATTAAGACAAATCATTTTTTAAGATATTAAAAAACGATTTGCTGGATTATTTAAAGGTTTTGATTTTATTTATATTAAAAACTAAAATTTATTTGTTTGTAAGCTTAAAATAGATCCTTATTAATTATATATTATTAAAAATGCATTAATAAATAAAATACAGAACCAGAAATGGTAATTTATGATTTAGCCTAGTGACGAGTAGATTCGGAGACAAGTAAATTTAACTTATGTCGCTTTCCTGGAACCAATTACCGACGTAAGGTGAAGTATACCTGTAGTTATTTGTCAAGTCATAGAATTACACTTAATTTGTTATTGAATAAATAATTTGCAACATAAGCTAATAAAAACTTAAAAAATTTATCTAAAACTATAAGCTAATTGTTATTAAAACATATTTCACATTTTTGGGAAATAAGGCAAAGAGTTTTATGTCTTTTTTTTCTGCATGCTATTTTGGGTGTGCTTATGAATGAAAAAGAAAAATATGCAGCTGTTTGTTTACTTAATATAACAGCACATTTTAAGATAATAAAATTAAATGCTTTAATATATTGAACAGACACTTGTTGAATATTTTTGACATTATCCTAAATTGTACTGATTTAATATTTATTGCTTTTCAAATGTAAACAGCAGTAATCTCATTCTATTAAACTCAGTAATTTGTTTTCTAAAAGTCATTCTTATGTTTCATCCAGATTAGGATAATATTATTATTATTTAATTACTAAAATATTTTTGAATTGATAATTTTAGAGAACACAAATGATTCCAAGCATCTATAGTAAAATAAAGTATGCTAAATTGTTATATCATTACTATTTATCGTACTTTCCGGCATATAAGACGACCCGCCTTTACAGTTAAAATATAGAGTTTGGGATATACTCACCATATATGACGACACCTGGCATATAAGATGGCCCCCGACTTTTGAGAAGATTTTCCTGGGTTAAAAAGTTGTCTTATATGCCAGAAAATACAGTAATATATATTATTATTAAACCAAATCCAAATTGACATGTAACTAATAATTGTATTACTATTATTATTATTATTATTCAATGTTTCACTATCTTATTACTATTTCATGTTTTACAATGTTTTAAGAAACATTAAATGAATGTTATAATAAAACTTTAAAGATGATTTAAAACATAATTACTATATTACATTATTACATATATTATTATATATAGTTACATGTTGATTTGGATTTGCAGTAGTAAAGATATCCTACTATAATTCTGCACCACTGTATATAAAGATTATTGCTTTGCTATTCCCTTTCTTAAATTTCCTCTCAATAAATGAATTTCCTCGATATTTAATTAATTAGAAAATGCTGATTAATAATAATCATTTAATCTGGAGGAAATAATTATATTCAGTGTAGAAAAATGATAATAGATTTTAAAAACATTTATAAATTGTGCTTGCGATACCAGCATGTTTTTTGTTAATTATATTATAATTCAAAAATTTTTGGAATATGACTTTTAAACTGAATAATTAATAATAAAATATCATACTAAGTATAAAACCAAATATAAAAGTTAATTAAAATTATGTCCAAAGGCAATAAATTTATCAAAAATTAATAAAAACAAAATAGTAATCAATTTGTAATTAAGGAATTTTAAGAATGTTAAGTTATTTACTTTCATAATTTTTTAGTAATTTATATACATTATTATATCAAGTGTAGACAAATGTCTTTTCTCTTGATAGTTTGATATCTATCCAATTAGCTATTATTAATTATGTGCTATTTTTCAACTCATTATCATTTATCATGTTCTAAAGTCTGCTTTATCAGATTTCTTAGATTTGCATTGATTTTACCATTTCATTAATTTTTAGATTCTTCTAAATTAAAAATACATCTTTTTCACTTCTAATCATTTAAAAAGAATAATTAAAACTGAAATTCCTAAAAAATTCTTGTAAAAGTTAAGAAAAAATTTATTCCAAATTAAAAAATAAGAAAAATATTTAAATGTCAAACCTCTTTAAATAGATGTTTCATTCTAATAAGTACTCATGCAAGAAAGTAAATAGAAGCTATCTTCATATGTATATGTTGCCTAGCAAACAATTCTAAAGATAAAATCTCTTGATAAATGATCAGTTGAATGGAGATCTGCAAAATTTTTACTAACCAGTTGCTTTCATTCTGCAAAAAAAACAATCCTATTTAAATGTGATCTTACATACATTTTTTAATATCATTAATATAGTTACTTCCATTATTATATATTTGCTTACAATTCTCTATATAGAAAAACTAGCAGTCATGGAATTTTACCAAATTATAAAAATAATTTTCAAAATTCAATTAATAATAATAATTAAAAGATTTTAAATAAATAATCAAAATTTTAAGCTGAGAATAAAATTATGGTATTGTACTAATGAAGCTAGATAGAAAAATTTGTTATTAATTTGATTTAAGGATACTAGTTTTTGTTATGATTTTAATCAAATTATTGTTCTAATTCCTTGTATTTTAAGTTTTTTACTATTATAATGCTTAAGATTAAATGACTTATAATTAATTATAAAATTTAAATTTATTTAACAACAAAATCAAAAATTTGTTAGGTTTACACTTGACATTTTCATTTTATAACTGTTTGTTACAGATTGTTTCAATTTGAATGCTTTCTAATTCTTCCCAGTTTGTCAAATGAGTTTTTATTTTTTAAGATTTAACGTTATCAAATTGTCAAAACTATCCAATTTTATGGTTTTTTAAAAGAATTGTCACTTTAATTTTTAAGAAAAACAATGGAATTTATATTTTTTGTATTTAAAATTTGAAGCTTCGATTTCACAAGTGTCTTAAATTTTGATGGATCTTAGTTTTTAATTTTTTATTCTCATTATTATTGTTGTATTAGAGAAGAATATGCTTCTTATCAAAAATTGAAGATATAAATTGATACTTTCCCATCACAATTGTAGTAAAATTTATTAATATAATATACTGTATTAAATTTAAAATGTATGATATTCTGTAGATGTAAATACTTTGTATCAGTATTACAGCAGGCTTAAATTAGACATATACAGTAATTTCTTTTTTTTCTATTTAGTATGTTTTGAAAGAGAATAAATAAATATAGTCTTAGTATTCATGCCAAGTAAAACTTTGTTGGCAGCAACAATTTTACTGTTTTTATTGTAGCATATGCATATGATAATTTATTTATAAATACAATTTATTTCTCCATGATGATATTTTACATTTTGTTTTGTAGGTAAACAGCACAGACGACGAAGTCAAGCAGAAGATTCAAAAGGTAGAAAATTTAAATTCTCAGAATCTCTTTTCTGAGTATTCATTCCTTAGACATAATATTTAGTATAAATAATTTACATAGAAACAATAATTCAAACTGTAAGTCAAAAAGTTTGAGAACTTTTGTTTTTGAAAACAATTTTGTTACATACCATTTATGGAAGTATTATGCATGCTGTTCACATTTATTGTTATGGTTGATGTAGCATGATGAGCCTGAGGTCATTGTACATAACTTGCATTCAGCAATAATATAACTTTCATTCAACCACATTGGCAATTTTATTCTTTATTTTTTATTTTTGGGAGAAAAATGAATTATCTTTGTAAAATGATTTTTTATTATTATTAAATCACTTTTAATTGATAATTCAAAATTTTGAGGAGGATTTGAGCAAATTCTAAAATCTTTTTTTTATAAAATAAGAGAGAACAGAAATTACAAAAATAAATATTTTAAGAAAAGAAGATTACTTCTTTTAAATTGTTGTAACAAAAAGTAAATCACTGTATTAATCTGACAATCTCCTGAATATTTTAGCAAAGACTGAGAACTTCCTTTCTGTCGTTTAATTTGTTTTGTGGCCATTTTCATCTATTAGAAGACAGAAAATTTGTTTCATTTCAAACTGCCTATCAGAAATTTAAAAATTAATAGAATTGAACCTGACCAAAAAATAATTTTAAACTAATAGTAATATAAAAAAAAATTGAAAATAACCAGAATAGGCATAAAGTTCATTAACAATTTGCTAATGGAATGATGTCCATTAGTAAATTGTTTATGTTGGCTTACAGATTTTATTTCTTAACCAGAGTATTTGTTTGTTTGGAGAAATCAACAGCTCTGACCTAAATTTAAGGCAGTTTATTTTATTTATTTATTTTTGAATGTTTAATATTTACATTATTATCTACAAATCTTATTTTTTATTATCCTAATTTAATTTAAAACTGTAATATAAAAATATTTTATCTAATTTAGTAATATAAATTTAAAATTAAAGTAGAATTAAATATTAAAATGGTAAATATCTGATATTTATTTTTTTTTCCTTTTCAGACTGATCAGAAAGGTAAGCATTTACCTTTTGAAAATTTCTTAATTTCTAGTTTTTGTGTATATTTTTTTATTTATTGAAAAATTTTGTTAAAACAGTACTATTCATGTTGAAATTATAATTAAATAATTTGGAGAAACTTACTCATCAGTATCAAAAGTAGACAAAAGTAGAAAAGTAGTAGTTAAGTGTAAAATTAAAATTGTTATTGTTGATTTACTGATATTTGCTAATATTTTGGTAATCTTATCTACTAAGTTTTACTTAAATTCCTAATTGAAATTAATAGATACTTTAGTGATCTGCATATTTATTTCAAGATCTGGTCTGACTTTATTACATAGTAATTCTTTTGTATTCTGTCATTTCCATGAACACTGCTTTTATTGTAGATGTACTTCAAGCAATATTTCTAAAAATCAGAATTAATAGATTGTTGTGATTTGTTTCAAGTTTTACATCACAGTTCTTAAGTTTACATTTGAACTTCATTCAAATTACTAATTTAGTGTGCTTAACCAGATTTGAAACAGTGTTTCAGATATAATATTTAGGCACGTAAATAAAAATGTAGATGCCATTTACCTAATCGTAATATATAATAATATCCTATATTGATAAAATTAAATTTAAAAAGTGCATTAACTGACAATAATTTTAAAAACAATAGAATTCTCTATGTTCCTATATCCTATATAATCATTTATTGTAGTACATATTGCAAATATTAAAATTACTAATAATGCACTTTGTAAATTTTTCATAAAAATTGTTCCAAAAATCTCAAATGAAATGTATTCATTTGAGATCCTTGGATCTTTATGTAATCATTTTGATAAGTATCATTGCTATATGATATGGATAGTATACAAAAGAATTACTCAAATTCATAAAATGAATTTTATAAAAATACTAGTTTTGTACAAAATAGAAAATGAAACAGAAAAGGAGAATGGAGAATCAGAAGAAAAATATGAAGAAGAAGGTGACGAAGGAGAAGGTGATGATGATGATGAAGTAGTTCCAGAAGGGGAAGATTATGAAGAAGAAGGAGAAGGGGAAGAGGATGGCGCGGAAGACGAAGAGGACGAAGGTGACGAAGAAGAGGCATAAGTAAGGTTGTGATCTGCACTGTAAAGGGGGTGGGGGGAGTTGTAAGCAATCCATGTAAGAATGAATATAATAAAAAGAGTGAAGGAGACTTTAAAAAAAAAAAACAGTTTTAATTCAAGTACACATCATTTGTTATTATTGGGCAAATTTTAAAAAGAGGCAAAACAAAAAAAAATTTAAAAAGATTTTTAAAAAATACAAAAAAAATAAAGTGGATAATAATAGTAAATTATTCACTAGCTCTGTTCACGTGTTCATCTTGTCAAATCAAATTACTCATGAAGAGGGTGTCAAAGGATCTTACACCTCCCACCGTTATTTTTTGGCTGCATATCTCCTGCATTTTGTGTGTATGGAAGGAAGGAGTCCCTTCATCGTGAAACCAGCAGGATTATCCAAACTTTCACACAATAATTACAAAAATAAAAATAATAAATAGGTAAATAAAAATGAAAAACAAAAACTAGGCGAGGTTACCCATCAGTGTAAGACATCTCATGAGCATTTACTTTATGTTCATCGTCAGGTTTAATATTCTTGCTGCAATCTTGTCCAAGCCACCTCCTACAAGTGTCAGTCCTCTTCTGTGTAATTGACAACTAATTTCCAGTTACACCTGCACTCTTTTCATGTGCACACCTAAAAAAACATAATAAATAAATACCGAGTAAGAATTTTTGCATGGTTGTCCGTGATCACGTGTAGCTCTTTCTATAGGAGAAGTGGAAAATTATCCTCTCCCATCAGCGACCTAGTGTTTAGTGATACATGGTACTAGGAAAAAGGAAATTTTACTCATGTAGTATAAAACACTTCAATTCTGTTTATCAAGGTTTGGTTGTGGAATGTGTGATGTATGTCATAAATGTGCAGACATTTAATACAAGTGATTTTATGTATTATCATGTTAATGTGTTCCTAGACACAGTTGTCAATATGTATCCGATAGATAGTTTTCACAGGGAGAGGAAGAAAAAAATTTAAAAATTTCATTGCTTGCAGGCTGGTGGTGGTTTGCCATTTCTATACTATATATTTACAGTATATATGGTATAGCCTCTTCATTAGCATTTATCGGTGGGGATTCTCTATTCCGATCTCTCAAATCCGGCGGAAAAAAAAAGAAAAATACTTTATATCTTTTAACTGTTATTGTTATCGGCATTGTCGGACACGTTCCTACTATTATCCTGTAAGTGGGAAATCATCTCCTCGTACTCTTCATCCATATATGGATGGAGGATCCCCATCGAATTCGTCTAGTATGTCAAAAGTTCTGTCTCCTGCTTGGCTTTTTTTGTTTTAGACTTGATCGTGTATTTCAGTTTCACAAACAAGCAGATGGTTAAAATAAAAGTGATATTCAACAGATGATGATTGTTGTGTGTGTTAATTTTATACGGATTCTTCCAAGAAATTCTGTTTGCAAGATTTGCACTCACTGTATTGTTTTTACTCTAACTTGCTTAAAAATAAAATTTTTAACTAAAAATATTTTGCTCCCCTCTTTAAAAATTCTGGAACATAAATTGCTTTAGCCTATAAAAAACAAATTATATAAATATTTTAAATCTAAACAAATACATTTAAGTTAAAAAAACTATTAAGCATAATCTAAATCATAATTTTTAATTAAAAAAACTGGTACATACACACCAACTTTATATTCATACTTGGTTATTTTTAACCTAGCTTAGTGAGATCCATATACTGTATTACAATTGATTTCTGTTTATAAAATTTAAGATGTTAATAATCATTCTTGAAGTATCTTAATCTTGCAGATAATGAATGCCTTAAAAGAGAGGGGTTTAATTATGTTCGTGACGATTCTTTTTAGCAGAGATTAGACTGCACTTAAAAACGGTTACGACACCTTTACGGGTCGGAAATCGAACAATTTCTTTAATTTGCAAATTCCGGGATTATATCTTTCCCATTAAGAGACTTTTTCCGTCCTTGAACAAGTTTATAAAAATATTATGTAACTTATCATGTAGGAGTATTGAAGGACAAGGTACCTTTCACGTAAGAGATCCGAATCAGACGGATTATAGTCGAAAGTTAAAGTATGGTCCGTTTCTCGTGCATTAACTGTTAAGGCAAGCTTGGCATGTCTTCTTTCAACCACGTATGTCGTTTAATTAACTTTTATTCTTTTAAAGGGCTCGATTGTCCGAATTCGGATCATCGATTTTTACCGGCCCGTAAAGTAACTAATTCTGCCAACGAAATTGTTCTTATGAGAGTAACGTGCACGAAACGAAAAACTCTTTTAGTATCAAACATGAGTCTAGCATGCTAAATTAACTCGGTAAAGTTGAAATCGATCCGTTTCGCGGGATGGCGGCTGCCGCGAACGTACAGTACAGTACATTCGATCAAATGACGTCACCGTAACAAAATCGATAAGGCGCAGGCACACTGAAACAAAAGATTTTTTTTTTATTTTTCTCGTGTAACATAAACTGCGTTTTCGTAATATTCTGTTGCTTTGTGTTTTGATTTAGAACGCGCAATATCCTCCTAGACTGTTTTATATTTAGCAGTTCGTTAATTTAAAAAAATATTTTAAAAAAGAAATTATTTTTATCAGAACGTGTAAGAGATGGCGCCATACGTCTTACTTCACGAGGGGGGAAAATTTTCAGTCGACGAAGCGATTTTCTAAAATTAGAATAATAACGTGTTTCCTGTAAATAATTTTCTACTCTTCTAGAAATAAACTATCTTAACGAAAACTTTCACTATTGTGTTTAGTATTAATTACGCGACGATTTCGCGATACCCATGCTAATTCAATTAACGATTAGGTAATAATTAAGTTTTGGTAATTCATTAAATTGCATTTTAATTACGGAAAGCAAATAAATGAGAAGTTAAGAAATAAAAGGGGACTCATTTTCCTACGTCGAAGTTTTATTCTCGTGAAGTACACGAGAATTAATACAAAAGTAAACGCTTTTTTTGCGTTCCTGCATATTCTCAGTGGGACATAAAAGAATTTCCACGCTACGATTGGTGGCGCCATCTATTGTTAAAATTCTGCGATAAAATTAATCGAACACGGATCGTTTCTTTTCTTTTCAATTTTAGAAATCAAAAAAATGTACGAAATAATAATAATAAAAAGAAAAATGATAAGCCACATTTTTCATATTTCTAAAATATTATATTTCTTATTATAAAATGTCGATAAAGGGGCAGAAATGGTTTTTATCAAATGTATAAAAATGTGGATCAATATTACGAGATCAAAATGGAAATTTTGATATCTCGAATATTATCTGAATTCATTTTTATCTTTGTTCGATATTCGAAAAAGAGAATATGTTATTATAAATATATATACACGTTACTTCAATAAAATCGAACATTTCTTATTTTCTAGGATTTATAGCGGTATAAATTGATAAAAGTAAATCGATTTTATTGCAAAGCTTAATGGTTAATTCTGTTACATGATTGCTTTATTACTTGTTTCGACAAATAAGGCAGATGTGGACAGGAGGAAGAAATAATTGTTTGATGTGTGACGTATGAAAACGTCTATTGTTACATCATTAATTACTTTTCTTTGTGAAGCGAAAATAAATCGTCGTAATGTATATATATTATATTTCGAGGGCGTCACTTAAGAATGTTGTTTATTTCATTATGGAATCTCTTAAGGAAATCGGGAAAGGGAATTGTTTCTTCGCGACATCGTTTAAGAGGCCATATTTAATTATTGCGTCACAATTAAAATGTAGTGTGTTTTAATTACGACGTCGTTTGATAATGCTTTCGCTAAACTCGTTTAAAATGTTTGCATTTATATTGTTTTTGGTTGTAAATGAAGAGGAGCGGATATAATCGCGACGTTCCTTTATTTTTATTTATCTTTTTGATTCGATTCAGTAATTTTCGTGCTTCGATTATTCTTAAGAACCGACTTCCTGTTGCATGATTGAAGTTTCGAATTTATCGTTATAAGTTAATCTATACATTAATATATTTATGATAAGTAGATTTTTACATCAATTCGCGATCAATTTGTTGATCAATTGATGTCTGTATGTGTATGTGTATAGACATAATATTAGGATATTCCAGTCGCTTAAAATAGAAGAAAGTTAACTATAAATTGTCGAAAATTGATCGATATCGATGTTTCAAAAATCGATTATCGATCTATTCGGTTCATCAATCTACTTAAACTCATTTTTTATTTGATAAATTCTAAACTCAAAGAGTATTCTCCCAATCGTTTATAAATGCACTTTTCTCCTTTTTTGTTTTTTTTTCTTTTATCAAATGGCATTTTTATTGGCTCTTTTTATACTGTTAAAGGAAATTCTATTGGGAAAAGGGAAAATAGATTAATGAAGAATACTTTAAACAAATTTTTGAGATTCTTTCGATTTAATATGAATAAAAATTTGAATAAAATTAATTTAAAGTTTTACATAATTCCTCCTATTTTGAGTATTACGCGCAATTTATTTTACTGAGACATTAATCTAATGAAAATTTTAATATGTAGTTTTATTTAACATCATGATGTTATCCAATCAAACGAACACAATTTTAAACAAACAGACGTGTAATAACGGATGAGGTCGATAGAAAGAAAACTCAGAGTCCCTTGTAACACACAAAGGGCTATTAACCACTAGTGAACCGTTGCAACAACGACCCCCGTGAAGCAAGGAGTTCGTAGGGATTAAAATTCTGTTTCTAGCCCTGATAATGGATAACTTACGAAAAATGTTAATCGTATATTTTGTTTATTATTAAACAAAATGGCATTATAAATATGTGCATATATTAATTCATTATATTTCCTAAGCAGTATCGCGTCTATGACGTCATATAAGGCTTAATTTGTATTTAAATTTTTATTATGACGACATACGACATTCTCGAGTGATGTCAAGCGTTAACACAATTCACGCAATTTGAAACACACATCAACCAATTGTTTATTTCAACAGTGACATCATAGGATCGATGTGTGACGTCACAATACAGCGGAAACATCAAAAGGAGATCAATGCCTTGTTTAAAAAAGGCTTTGTTTATTATAAAGCTAAAGAAATTGCATGCTGATTTTTTTCTCCTTGCTTGTAAATAAAACTTTTTAACAATAACGAGCAGAGAATTTTAAATTTGAAAAAAATAAAAATAAATTTATTTTATTTTATTTTATTTTTTGTTTTAAACGTTTTGAATTCCAGATAAAAGAAGCGATTTTATTGTATTTCTTCGGAGTGTGTTGCAATCGCTGTTTCGCTCGACTGCTCTGACCATACGAATGGCGACATTGTCTATATAAAGGAGTCACTTTAAATTCAAATATTCCTTCCACTTGGATCATCTCTTATTCAAACTGAAACTTCGGATAACGTGGAAAGAATAACATTCGACATCCTACTGTTTTTTTCTAGGATAAATACAACCTCAACTATACAATTTTCAATAATTAATTTTAAACACTATTAAAAGAAAACAAACAAAAAAATTGATCAATTTTAATCCTACACAAGGTGAATCATCAACGTATTTCTCATTCGGGATAGAAATTTATTTTAAAAAATTGTCTTTATAATTATAAAATAATAATATTAGTGCTTACGGCATCAATATTTTGCACGTATGGTGTATAATTTGAACAAACTACTTATTTTTGCATTTATTATAATGAATCTATTTGAAATTGTATACAATAGATGGAGCTAATAGTTCGGAAACGGTTTTATGGTTAAAAATGATAAATATATTGATTACTGATTGAGCAATAATTCATAATTGGATCATTTTAATTATATGTATGCTTAAGTAATTAAACTACCAATTATTAAACTCTTTGTGAATATCGAATGATGTAAATCATACGTAAATTGCACTTGTAGTAAATGTATATTAAGGCTGTCAACTGTCCTTGTATTACTCTTAACATTATATGAATCGGGCATAATATATGACACAGATTAATATTTGATATTGCATTTACATGAATTATAATTTTCTATTAGTAACAGCTTAAGTGCAATGTACAAGTCGCTACTGTGTTATAATAAAAATTCATTCATTTATCTGAATAAAATCCAAAGTTATAACAGGTCTATATAAAAGTATTTATGCTTGTATATATTTGAAGAATATATCCGAATACGCATATATTAATAGTTGTTATCACACATCTGTGTACCAATCAATATTTAGTAAATGTAGATCAATACATAAATATATAAGTGCTGTCTTTGCTTGCCGTCTAGTAAAACACTTCCATATCAATTGATATTTTAGAATGTTTATTTCAAGATTCTTAATCTTATCAGTCCAAAATTTCAATTCACTTTGATCATTTCTATATTTAATATAATCTAAGTTAAATAAGTTATGCATTTATACATGTACTGTACATTATATATTATACCAGTCTTTTATATTTAAGCTGTAGAGCCTATGTAAAGCATATTTTGGTGAATTGTGTATATTGTACTTACATT